GCGCATCTAGCGCCGCCTAGTACCTAGTATCCTGGACTTATATTTCAATGAGCGCACGACAATGGATGTGAAAACATACAACGAAACGAAACCTCACTATCCACTTTCCGACATGACTTGTCAATAGTCTCAGTACTTAGACTATTACGGACCCAAAGAGTCATCTGATCACCAAGATCTGTGTATTACTGAGGAAGAAGGACCAGCGTAGTCTCATTTGCGGGATGTGTTGGACAAATGCTGTTGATGAGTGGCAAGGCTGATCACGTGTCCGAGACTGTGGCACATTATTAAAATCTGTACCTTGTTTGTCGTTGTAGGCTCCGAAATCGCTTGCACAGCTCAGGTTTCATGACGCCTTATTGAATATTAATACTCATGGACAGAATCCCTGTTGAACCCGCAGACTCCAAGCTTGAGGCCTGAGGCTTGGTGATCATGAGGGAGCCCAATGAAAGACTCAACCGCGATGCGTTGATGCTTTGAAGGACGCGCGTAGGACAGACCCGTTCATGCTCATAAAGCAAAACACGACGTCGACCATCCATTCCGAAAAGCACATGTTAATGATACACTGAATATATTCTTACAGGCGCTCTTTACTCATTTAATGGCGAGAACTCGCTGATCTGCGACATCTGAGAGGAGGGTGCAACAGCAGCCGACTCGGGTTTCTGACCCTTGGGTGGTTTCACCACGAGGTCAGCTTGTTGCCTGGCAAGCGGGATCAGCGGTGCCTCGAAGGAGAGAATAGAAAACTCACAGTCGCATGCGCAACAGCAATTTCCTGTTAGCACTCTGCATCTCGCTGCCGGCCTTCAGCGCCTTCGCGAATAGCTGCGCTCTCGAGTCCATCTGCTTCGCCTTCAGAATCTAAGGATTGATCAAGATTAACAGGTCCGAGCCGCACTCAGTGTTGGTCACTTCAACTGTACCTTATTCTGACTATCGACCCTCCCCTGGATCTCGCCGCTCTGAATTAGCGACACGACCTGCCTCTCGACCTCGTCGACGCTCCATCCGAACACGGTGCTCATCCGATCGAGCTTGATAGTCGAGAACGGTTGAAAGTATAGCACGATCGCGCGATTCCGAATGAGATTCGTCAGGTCATGGACGTGAGATGATAGGTATATGTCCAAGTAGTGTCTTGTCTATATCCTGATTAATAAATATGATACTCAGAGGCCTGACTGCTGGCTCACTTACCGAGAACCTCTCGAGTAGCTCAAGCACCACCTTGAACCGGTTGCTCATATACGCCTCCACAATGTCCCGCACGTACGGCTCATGCTCAATATAGACACCAAAGGTCTCATTCTCGAGCACGCGCGACTTAATGGCGCTCCGCGACATACTCGCCAGTGCGCAAAGTGTTCCACAAATCGCAATGTCTCCTGGCGCAACTAGCTGCATCTCGGTCAGTCACCCACTCTCTGTCCTGTGCAGATGGCTCCGCACCTTGCCTGCCCAGTCATCGAATTTTGCGGACGGGCCGAGCTTCAGGAACGAATGCGCCGCCTTGTCGTACAGGCCCTGACCCAGTTGACTCAATGCCATCGCAAAGTCGAGCTTGGTCTGGTACCGCTCTCGTTCCGCGGATGCCTTCGCCTTTGTGCCGACAGGGGCCTTGGAGTTCTCGGGCACGGATGTGGACTGGTCGAGCGCTGCATCGGATTTGAATATGTACGTGGGAATATGAGAGTAGTTGCGTTGCTCTATCAGAATCTGCGCCCGGTCAGCGGTTAAGGGAAGGAACGATGCGATTAGCGCACTTCGAGCACAGATAGACACATTTCGAGAATGTGCTGGTTGGTCGTGCAGAACTCGCGTGACTTCGTGAAATGTTTAAGAGCGGTAGTGTAGTCCCCGACGCTCTTGTAAAACTCGCCGAGATCTCGGTGCGCCATCTGCCGTCCGACCGCCGTTAGGAAGGCGTGGCATAAAGGCGAAGACGACGCACCCGAATGCTCTCTTTGATCATGTTATTCGTATATGTCTTCAGCTCTACCTCCAACTTCATCCTCTCGTTCTGATTCTTCGCATTCGTCTCGTCCACCCATCTCTGATCCACGGTGGCGATGTCATTTACTGCTGGTAGTGGGACGGACCCGAGTGATGCTGCTTGCTTCATTCATTCGTCGGTCAGTTCCACATCCGTTCTTGTATAATCAAAATTTACCTCGTACGCAGATAGCACTACTTGATATAGCGCAGGGTCTCGTAGTGATTGTATGTGGCGGAAGGCGAGTTGAAGAGCTTGGGGTGCAATGGATGGTGCTAAAGAGATGATATGAACGAGCCGATCAATTGCTATTCGCCCTGCAACATATAATTCAAGTCTGAGTACACCAAGTTAGTGGCAAGATCAAGACGACACGCCTGTGTAGTTTGCCATGTATGTTTCGAGCTCAAAGGGATGGTTCTCATCGACGACCACTGTCGGGATAGGAACCTTCGATGTCTTCGAGGGACCCGAGGCCTGTTCTGTGGCATCGGCCATTTCGACATCCATGTTCGCAGAGCGAGAGTAGCAAGTGATTACGCGTGGACGGCGGGCAGGACAGCACAATTCTAACGTTTGATTTACATGCTGCAGAGATCACGTCCCAATGAGGCACATGCTTTTTCTCACGCCGTCTATTAGCTCCGCCATTAATGGGTGGAAACGAGTGTCCTAAGTTCTGTTACAGTAGTCATGCCCAAAGAGTGTTTACTAGACACAATCAGATCCCGCGGGATAGCGTCGATACCACCGGTCTCGCAGGAACACGTTTCTGTCTTGCACAATCGCTTTGACGACTATCGGTACCGTCAGCTCCCGTGGACGGATTTTTGTCTCATAGGAGAATCATGATGAACTAAACTTCGAGGATTCAATGGCAGCGGTCGACGCGTATCTGCTCACATCCTTTGTACTGGACCATCCCCCCAGGTGCTGTCGAATGCGCTATGGAAGCAGAGCGGATCGAGAAAAAGCGAGTACCTGCCCTTGCGCGAGCTTCCAACGTCAACACTCATAGAGGTCTGCCACTAGAGCGACTTGGCCGAATTCATTCTCAATACATTTCATCGCCGTACGTAATTTTGACAATCAGATGTGCAGCTCCTATGTTGTTCCGATACGTTGAGAGTCAGGGGTTTTCGTCATTCTGATCCAAGTGAATATTCACTATAGCGACGTGACGGAGGTACGTCTGGCCTTTTCCTTTGCAATTAAGGCTGAACAATTCGCAGGTGCTCTTTGTGCTTACGACTGCACGTGCGACATATAGAAACACGACGGCAGAAGCATAACGATCCGATTTAGTAGAGCGGGCCAGTCCATGGTGGTGGAGATAAGCAAACATATATGCACGACGAATACTGTATCTAGATCTAAATTGGTCGACACTGTCTTTGAGGTTACGGCCACCACAATTTGTCACGGGAATAGCGACAGATCAATGGAAGGACCGCCTCCTCGAGTACGTCCAGTACAGCAATACCTGCTTGAGTGCCCGAAGAATAATACTGAGATCATGGTGAGCGCGATATAATCACTAGATCACCAAATGCCATCTTATGAAACCTTGTTTACTCTTCGGCACTCGGAGGCTGACCCCAACCGTCCAAGTTTACGACAACAGGTACTCCGCCGCTTCTGACGATCGCCCACACCACTTCTTCATCGCCCTCGTTGACTTCTTGATGTTCTGCGAACGCAGGTATAATGGCCCAATCTCCGGGAGCCATTTCCACGCGGTTGGCGCCGCCGGGGCCGTACACGATAGCACCACGTCCGGCAACGCCGTAGACGATAGTGTCTAAAGTGGAAACAGTTAAACGTCGGTGCGTGGCTCGTACTCGACAGTGAGACTGACACCCACCTTGTTCTGCGTGGTGGTGCACGGCGGAGTGGCTATGTGGCGGCGCCTTCATTACTGCTACTGGTCAGTGCCGGTGCATGATATGTAACATCCAACACCTACAGGTTCCGCATATCCTGTCAGACTTGTCGACAATAGCGGCTTGCCTGATCATTCCCTCGGTCTGCCCCGTTCCGGTTTCGACCTGGAAAGCCTTCGTCTGCTCAACAGTTTTTGACATTGTGGAAGGTATGGTGGTTAGTAATTCTGAGAGGGCTCCCCCAGGCTCCCTACTCGATTTATAGTGGCAGGTTATTCCAATATGGTGAGCGGCAGACAGCCGCTTCGCTAATATTGGAACCTCGGGGCGTTTCAAAATAAGGCTTGACGTCACGATGATCCACAGATCGAGGATTAATCGTGCATTTCAGAATTCGCCCTGGACCTCCTTCGCGCTGTCTTGAAGGACCCAGAAAGTCCGAGACCTAAGGAGCTGTGATTGTGTGGAGATGAACGTCATACACTCCGAACAATTTCCTCATCTTCGTTGGACGCTTTGAAGCACTCCTGGAACGGTGTCAAGCTTATTACCAAGCCTGCGCATAGGAATATTCGAGTAAACCCTTGCGGATACTGTGGTCCCTTATCTTCCGGTCGTGTGAGCCTCGTCTAACGGACAACGGACATCCGCCGCTCGATTCAATCCGTTGACATGATTCAGGGGCCGGCGCTGTGCTAAGAACATACCCTTAGTTATATTTGTGGACAGTGACGAGCGAAGTACATGCAGTTATATATGACGATTGCTGAATATTAATGCGACGTTCCGATGCTGTCTCCATTGAGACGAACTTGACTGAGTGTTGGAATAAACTAAGGACGTAGAATTGAGCGCTTGCCCCCGCGTCGTTGGTTGCAACCCGAGGGGCAATCGCGTACTGGACAAACTATAAAATACAAGCTTATTCGGGAACCTCTTTCAACACTTTGTGACACTGCTCTCAGCTGCGTGGCCAACGTCCCACCGCGAACCCAGATTCCCACGAAGCCACGGCGGATACTTAACCCAACTTCAACTTTGTGTGGGGGCTGGGGGTTAAAAGTTATTGTTACAACCATGCATGAAGTACATGATCGTGAAAAGAAACCACATACACCTGGTGGGACTCGAACCCACAATCTCCCGCTCGTACTGAGTGGGTTTAAAACCTTCGCTGTTTGTAGGAAGCGGGCGCCTTAACCATTGGGCCACAAGTGCGCTTCAAAATAAGTCGCGAATATATATATTATATACAAATCAAGGACCGCCAGTGGCCGTTTCAATAGATACTACAGTTCAACATTTAGTGCCCAGGCCCCTTGGCTGTACCAAGCTATGCTTGCCCTTGACGGGCCGTATTTTCTGCAGACTTAATAGCGAATGGAAGGCGAAGGATATCACTTGGATTTTGATTGCTATTGAGGAAGACAAGGACGATGGACCGATTGGATTTTTGATACATGCTTCTGCGAATAGTGCGACTAAAAGTCAAACCCTCGATCCAAGTCCCTCCTAAGGAGATCTTTCATGCCGGGAGGGAGAAGGGGCAAGCCATCTTGAGATATGTAACCTGAATGAAAAGGCGTAAGCAGGCATCTAGGACTGAGAAGGCGGAAACGCACGGAAGGGCATCTCGACCGATTCTTTGGCTGAGAACCGAATCGTCGGGAAGTCCTACCAACCGGGTTGGCATGTATTTAGAGGAAATGTGCGAAGAAGCTGACGTACAATATAAGGTATCGCGGATAAGCGTACTTAAACAGAAACTTCGTGAGTATTCCTGCCATACATGAGAAAAACGATTTCCATGGACTAACTTCCGTCTTCGACTACCTTCTTCGTCACGCCTAGTGCTGTATCGGTAGTCATCTGCACAGGGCCAAGATGTCGTGAAGGGAATCCTAGTATACGGAGCTCAGAGGTGCGGTCGCGTGGAGGGTCATCGCCTGTCATCTCCACAACGTGATAAGTCCGCCAGACGTTTCAAAGAGTTCGGGACGATCACCTAAGATCCCCTACGAGGAGGTACGTGTCAGTTCACACAGCATAGAGAAGTAATCGCCTACTCCAAACAGAAAACAGTCAAATTCGCTCGCATCCGCGGGCGATATTTCTTTCATAGCTTTGGGGTCCAGCAGACAGACTCGTTCGAGAGAGATCGAGAGAGAAGATAGGAAAGGAAGAATGGGATCAGTGTGGGCGTAGGCAAATGCAAGTGTCGAGGAGGCTGATGATGTGGAGGAAGAAAATAGTGAAGTCAAAGAGGCGGTCGAGGTCTGGGAAAGGTGGGTGAAGTGCACGGAGGAGAATGGGCCCGCTAAACTGCGCATATGCTGGAAATCATAGTATATAATCCGTAATTGATTTTAAGAAGACACAAACGGGTAGGATGGCACAGCACAAAAAAATATCGAAATTTAGATCGAGTTGTAAAACACGAGTGACTATGACTGTACCTGATACTCGAGAATGACCCATTCGGGCAGCGACTGAGGGGTGTTCTCGTCCTCTTCCATATGTTCTACGCACATGTCGCATGAAGACATATCTCGAACGTTATTTCCTCGCAAATTTAGAGCACCACGTATGCGTACCGATAACATATTTAAAACCCATTTTTCGTATGTTTTCTTATCTTTTCTGGAGGCTCTGAGGTCTAACTCGAAGAGCCGGTAGCCGTGGATGATGAAAACTAATATGACCGAGACCCTAACCTTGTCTTCCCAGATGCTACAAGCAAGAAGTAGGGATTGCGCTTCTAACAAACGCTTCGATCATAGTATTCCTGATTTAGGTAGTCAGCTGCCAATTTTGGAAATATATTTTCGTTTGTTTTCGTCTTTGTGTCAGTACTGAATTGTGTTAAATTATATAGCTAATGCATCAAGTATCATACTTTGTTGCACTACAGAACAGGGAGCCGTACTCCTCCCCCGGAAGGATTTGAGTGTTACTGACGCTGCCGGCGGCCACTTACAGCTGCGGTTCACCATTGACTGTACGTTGACTATTAGCCCGCTAGCCTTGGCCAACTACGTCGACTGCTTGAAACTGGCACACAACGTCTGTCAATATTTTATTAAGGTGTCATTGGTTCTTATTACGTACTCACATGGGCGCTAAATGCGGCGTTGTATCCTCGAGGTTACCTCGCGATCGGCCGCTATATCTTGTCTTTAGCATCAACCGCCCCTTCGAAGTCCGCGATGGCTTGTCCAATATTACCTGCGGAGCTTTGGGTCTCTATCTTCTCACATCTTGGCTTTCGTCAGATCATAAAATCCCAAGAGGTTTGTACATATCCACCCGAACGTCTCCGAACGTACGACTGACTCCCTGATCCGCAGGTATGCAGGTCATTCTCGGACATCATCTCTTCCTCCAGTCTCCTGCAATATCTCATTCGACTGGGTGTCTACGGATACGTCGATCTGCCATTAAAGTATCGTCTGAACATACCGGACAGGCTTGCATACCTCCAGAAGTATCATTCCGAATGGCGCATCCCTAAACTGCAACACCGAGAGACGATTCAGCTAGAACACGAGATACCAGCAAGGGCCCGTTGGTATCCAGAGAAGTTTCATGACGGCGTTCTAGCAGTAGGCCATAAAGACGACGGAGGCTACCCTCCCTACCACGAGGACTGGAAGACAGAGTTCCATTTCATGTTCAATCAGATCTCTTTGTTTCGGCTTGATACAGCTGGTGATCCTCGATATATCAAGTACGAGCTTGGTGACTTCTTTGGTCTCTTCGATTTCGATGTACCGGAAGACGTTTTAGTTGTGGCACGGTGTCCGGCGTCTCCTAGATCGTAAGGATCTCTCTTTGCGTAAATATACCGATCTAAGGATCTCGAATTTTGTTCAGGTCGCAGGTGTTGTTGAAGGCCTTTTCATTGTCCCAGGACTCTGCACACCGCAGATCACACGTTCGAGAGATTATTGTACCTTGCTACAGCTCTGCGATCACGAAGTTCCGCGTATGCGGAGAGTTAGTGGCCTTCAGTACGAGAAGCCCTGGAGTGATAGTTGTCAACTGGACAACTGGTAGCTTCCGTACGGTGGGTCTATTCTGATCGGATATCTGTCGTCTCCCTTCTTCCTATTGAGCCTTACTCAATTGACTGTCGGCCAGATCGCCCTCTCGCCATGTCTATCGGTCGCCTCCGATCTCTGCTTCATCTCCACTACGCATCTCGCAGTGTCCGATGGATGGTCGCATCACCCACGTCTACAAATCTTCTCTTTGGAGCGACCTTCGCTAGATGGAGACATAGACTGGATCGTCCTGGAACTTCCCAAAATCTTCCCAACTCTGACAATCGAGAAGGACAGGATGATGTCTTCTCTTTCTCGAGGCAACGGCCAGGACCAGTACCCGTCCGATCCCGACTTGGACCGCTTACTGTTCCAACCCTCCCCTGTTCGAGCAGATCTCCTTTGCACACACATCACCGTATCCAGTTTGGCAGGTAACGAGGAGGAAGACGCGTACTACCATCGAAAACCAGGGAGTCACACCTACACCGCTGTTATCTCCGTCCCCGGGATCCTAAACATGCTCGTCGCGTCGCCGACATCTCTCTTATCTTGGGACAGCTGGGGTCCCCCTCTCTGTCGCTGGTTCCAGGACTTGGACCTCGTCAGCCAGGACGATCTGCACACCCCCATATCCGGGCCACGCATGATCCTCAAAGATTGCATACTCGACTTCAACGCTGTCGAAATTGCGAGGGACTTCAGCCAGTGCAGGTGTCGAGTCCCCGCAGCTCATTGGACTGATGTGCACGGGCAGTATCCTGACGCCAGCCCGAACTTCTATTGCGAAGAACATAAGGCCGTCGTGACAAGGCCGAGCACGGTACCGTGTGGTGTGGCGTTCACGAACCGAGTAACAACGGGCCTGCCGTATCGGAAGGTGATGGAGTTCTGTCAGTCTAGACGGCTGAGAGAGTCGGATTGGACGTACATGAGTGCGAGTTTGGTTAGGGTGAGGTGCTTCACGTGAGATAATAACTGAACTGACCGTTGAACGAATGCAGCGCGTGGATGAAGATGGCACAATCGTCTTTCATTTTCTGGATCTATAGAGGACATCATGTCATCATTCTCCCCTACGCATTCGTCTTATATATGGCAGCCCTTCACAGGGGAAAGGATCGGTTCACCGCCAGTCGTGGGGGTTCTAGTCCAAGCAGCGTGCTTTGGGACCATGAATAATGATATTTCTGCCCAAGGAATTAATTTACAGTAAGAACGGCGTGAATATGTTAATACAACAATATTGAAGTCATTTCGTATAGTAAGCCGGCTACTCATTTACATGAACCCCTAACGAGTCATGAGAGGAGGGTTTCCGCGTCTGCAACCTCGACAAACGCCTACGGTGTGCACCCATAGGATTACCGGACCGTATTCGGAAAACATAAGTAAATACATAGATAGCCGCGGTCTGGATTGAGAAAAGACGTTATCAGACGCTCAAGTCCCGGAAGAAGTGAGTTCCTCACATTGAAAGCAGTATAAACTAGAAGCAGACCGAAGTTCCTCCACCGATGAGCATATTGGATATTGAAGTATTTGCCAAGCAACTCGTCAGTTGTACGCGATGAACAGAACTGGCAACCGCTAGTGGCGTTAGGATCGACCAAGTATCCACCAGCATACGATATGAAGGCCTGCATGTAGTCGCCACATGTCAGGCCAGAGGGAGGCGTCAATGTCACATATTCTACGTCGCTGCAGGAGATGAGCGTCTTCCCAACAGCTGTCAGTCGAGACCTGTCAGTCCATGGTTTGCTCTA